GTGTGTGTGTGTGTGTGTGTGTGTGTGTGTGTGTGTGTGTGTTTGCAGGATGTGTGGAAACAAGGGGGCATAAGCAGGTGCCACGTGGCGTTTGATGGGCTGAGCCAAAACAAAGAGTGTGTGTGTGTGTGTGTGTTCTCAGCTGTTGAGGGGGATGCAGGTGTGTGTGTGTGCAAGCAGTATTTCATCTACAGTCACTCATGCTCACCCCCTGAACCTCCCCTCTAATCCAGCCAGATCTGAGGGCAGTCATGTGAGTGGGGGGTATACACACACGCGACTCGCATGACACATTTCTCTCGCATACACTCACGGTAGGGAGGCACGCATGGCCTCTTGTCAGCTGTCCCGCACGGTCACATTCTCTTACAGTCAGCTTTACTCACACACATCCTCCTCCGCTTTGATATGTTGGGAAAGCTGACTCTATATCCAGAAACGGACGCACAAGGAAAGTTGGGTCATCCTCGTACCTTAAGTATCAAATCATCCCTCTCATTGTTAGGAATGTTGAGCATTGCAAAAATCCCGAATTGCACATATCCTGACATAAACCCCCAAACATTTTTGGGGGTTTATGTCTTCAAGTGTCTGTCATGGATGTAAGATTACAAGTTTTCTTTGAGCCTTTTCTTAATGCACTCGTTTGTCTTGGCTAAAGCGTCAGATATTTTCAGCGGCTTTAGTTGCAGCAGGACTGTGAACACCGCAGCTTGATAGTGAGGAAGGCCTACCAATCGGAGCTATTGTCTAAATATGGCTTCTGAGTTGCTCGTGTTTCTCTGGCCCGGCCGTCCGTCTCCACACCTCCATGGAGAACATACCACCCCTGTGCGATGGGACATTTGACTCTGCTGCACGAAAATGTGCGTGCCATGCTCTGACGTTGACTTCAGAGAGGCATGAGCCGGTGATGTTATAACAGATTTCTGTGACTAGTTTGCCTCTGCCAGGAAGCTGTCTCTTTGACAGTGTGGCCATTAGGCGTTGCGTCGAGGTCAGTGACTCAGTCAGAGGTGAGACACTTCCCTCCTCTGTACCTGCAAGTAGTTGAACGTCACCGACTGCAACGATTGAGAAATTACCTGGATTTTACCATAGTCACTACACAGTGAGCACAAGACTGAACAGGACCTCACTTTGTTTACACAAAGAACAACACACCACTTGTTCCAGACTGAATATATCGCAACAAATATTGGATGGATTGTCATGACATTTTTTGTACGCCACTGTGCCAAAGTACAGTCTGTCTACAGCCAACAGACGAGAGTGAATATGAGTAAAGCTGCTGGACCCGGTAACATCCCTGGTTGTGTACTGAGAACAGAATTAATGTCATCACCATCGTACCATCTATTTTATATTGCACAAGATTTCATTTGAACACATCATGACAACGTAGTAATTTAGCTTTGCCCAATACTCATTTCTTTGTAACAAAGCCTAAACGCATCATAATGTAACGGAGTTTAACCTCCACATGCACACCCCTGTCTATTGAGCTGAGGTGGAGCAAGTGGAACAGTTTAATCTCAGCAATTACTTTAGTAGGTACAACATTATCCTAACTGTTAGAATTGAGCCATAACAATTAGAATTATTACTTAAGTTGTAGTGAACAGGAATTATCCTTGTTGTGCTTACTGGATGAGAGCTTTTCGCGTTCACCACAGTCAACAACCATTCTCGGAGCCTCTCTGACTCTTGCCTCTCGGTCTCTTTTCTATTTTAAACCTCTTTCTGGGGGCTCTGCCTGGGTAGAGTGACCCTGGGTGCACGACAGGAAGGGAGGAGTCTGTGCTGCTGGTGGCAGAGGAAGAGAATGGAGGGAGAGAGGGGAAAAAGAGGAGAAGACCCTGGCTTGCGGAGCTCATAGCGAAGGACCGTCAGATGGCTTTGACAGAGCACAGGCACCAATTAGGATGCAAGATTAGGGGGGCTTTGTACTTTTTTTCCTTACTTCCTGCCTTGGCTTTATATCTTTCTTGTGACTCCTCACCCTCCCATAACCTTATCCCTCCCTCCCCCCTTCTGTCCTCCTCCAGCCCTGCGACCTGCTCCTTAAACTCTGAGATTATACCTGGCTAGACATTGAGAGGAGTGGATTAATAAAGCAGCTCGTGGCTTGACTGGGGGGCACGTTGCAGTGTGATTTAGCAGGACAACGAGGTGGCTACTTGGATGTTTATTTGGGTCCTGGGTGCCTTCTGGCATGGATATGGAGGCGAATTGCAGGAGTGGGGGAGACTCCTGCTCTAATCTGCAGAATATGACGGTAGAGTACCAGGAGTGGGGACAGAGAGTCATTTGTATTAAAATCTGTGTAGCTCGATTCTACTTCCATTCTGTTATGTCCAGCTAGGGTTTGTGGCAGCGAATCTGCAACAAGATAGTTACTCCAGACGGGCTTTTATAACAGTGTTTTGTCAGCGCATGGCGTCTACCTCTTGCATATTAATAGTTGTTGTGTTGACATGAAAGCTAGACTCCCTTGCTTGCGCTCAAACCCCTGTTGTGCACATATTTACACACACACACACACGCATGCACAGACACACTGCTCCTCCTGAGTACATGAAAACAATGGCAGGAAGTACATTAGCGGGACCTCCATTGTATCTCCCCATACGTGCTCGCTTCCTGAGCAGCCGAGTGTGGGTGATGCCGATGGGTGACACGGGGACGGCTGATGAGATGCAGAAGAGCCCATTGGTGCTCTCGAGGTGAGGGAGAACAGCGGTGGGGTGGGTGTCGGATCCGTCTGGGCCGAGACGGAGAGATCTTTAATCCTGCAGCCTTCTGCTGCCCGTCGTCTCGGCTCCGGAGCTTTTGGAGCTCTGCGGCCTGGAGGTCTCCCAGTAACCGACCTGTGGTCAGTTTTAGTGTTTCACCGCTCGGGATACAATTTGGGATTATGTGAGGGTAAGCTGTTCCCAGATCAGCACAAAAGGTGAAATACTAACTTTAAGTCAATTAGTTGTCATCCCACAGAGGGGGACAGATGGTGAGAAGCTGGGAGTGACCAAACCTCAGGAATGCCCATAGCAGCCTCTGTGCTCATTTAATCGTTGCAGAAACAGTAGTCAGGCAGGGAGATATTTATTCTTAATGTGTGTGACTGTTTTACCATTCACCTTGAGCCAGTCTTTTAAAATGTTTTTGTATTTTAATGCAGGGACCTTGTGTACTTGGCAGTTATGTGACCTGACTTTCTCTTGTCCTCTTGCCCCCTCTGTTTCTGCTTTTATAGGTTTGCCACCACCCAGACTGCCAAGACTTGAATAACAAAAGCCCCCTTCACCTGTGTGAGTCATGTGACTCACGCAGCCATTCGGAGAACTCGGACAACATGCACTTTGACCGGCACCCCCGATTTGACTTGCAGCCTCAAGGTAGACTTTCTTTATTTGTTAATCCTGCTCTTACAGTGAAGGTTATACCCATTGCCTCATCAGAGTGACAAACGCAAAACATGTAATCAATTTATTTTCCTTTCCCACATGTTTTAACTTTTAGGATTTGTGTAATCATCAATGCATGTCTGAAAACACAGACATATCAAAACCTTGACAAATAAAAACTATCTACGTGGCGAGATACCACTGGAGGCAGGAGAGAAAACCTGCCTCTATTTAATTTGGGTGAACCAGCCCTTTAAAGGTCGCCGTAGTTGTGATCCAACAGAAGAAATGACTGCTGTTGTTTTTTTTTTTTGTTTTTTTTTTACCTTCTAGCCTCCATCCTGGCTCGAAACGTGTCCACGCGCTCCTGTCCCCCGCGCACCAGCCCCCCCTCAGACCTGGAGGAAGAGGATGAGGGGAGCAGTGACCGAGGGTCGGTAACCTTTCCGTTATCACCGTGCTAGTGTTCATGTATTCCTGCATGCCAGTGGAACTCGTTTTCTTTGCTCACTGGAGGATAAATTACAGCCATTAAATGTGTCTCCTGACAGTTAGACGTCTCCTTTTTAAGTCTTCATAGACACTTTCAGCATTTTCTCACATGTTGGGTACAATAATGTGTGTGTTACTGTTTTGCAGGGATCGTAAAACAGGGGGGATGAAGTTGGTGAAAAAGAAGACACGGAGACGACACACTGACGTAAGTAATCACACTGACACGTGGAACACAAAAAACGTCTCCTCAGGAAACCACTACTCAGAGTTATTTGTAGGAGCACTTTTCATAAATGGTGTCGCAGCCACCATTACCCTCTGAAATGCTGATAACATAATGGTATCTCCCAGGCTGCTCTGTGCCTGAGTCAGGCAGTGTAGTGAGAAGGAGCCCCCCTGTGGATCTCCTGAGAGCACATGTGCAGCACGAGCCCGGGGGCGGACCAGCAGGGCTGCAGCCCCACCTGTGTAAACTAACAGTGTGTCTGTTCCCTCTGCAGGACCCCAGTAAGGAGTGCTTCAGCCTTAAGTTTGATCTCAACGTGGACATAAACACAGAAATCGTACCTGCAATGAAAAAGAAAACTCTGAGGTAAGCGGGGGAGAGGGGAGTGGAAAGGTAAAATGTATTGCAAGGGTTTGATATGAACCGTAACTAACAGCCTCTTCTTTCCCTGTGCTACCAGAGAGGTTCTAGGTCCAGTGTTTGAGAGGAATGGCATCGAGCTGTCCCGGGTCGACTTGTTCCTGGATCAGTCCAACACACCGCTGTCCCTCAACTTTGAGGCCTACCGTTTTGGAGGACACTACCTCAAAGTCAAAGGTAAAAACACACCACATTTCCCATCGACGACTTTCAGCGCAGAAACAAGCCCATCTTGCAATAACGCCCTATCCTCTGTTGATCTTTTAAACTAACTTACTCATTTTAGCTGCAGCGTATTTTTATACGATGCTATTTATATGATGCTACTCATTGCTGAGCTATGCTCTGTTGCTTATTGTGTGTTTTGTTGCTGATCCTGTGTTGATGTAAGTTGACCTTGAGTGCCGTTAAAATTGAATTTAAATTAATTAAATAATTTTCAAATGCAATACAGTGCAAAATGTTTGCGATAGTAAATATCACCCCATTGTCTTTGTCCTGTTACCCTTTGTGTTTGATCTTAAGGCAACCTATTTATTTAAGTCATGAATCCATCAATGACACATAATGGTTAAACTATAAGTAAAGTGTTTTGTGTTGGTGAGAGATTTTCTTCAAGGTAAAATACGCCCACAAACGAAAGATGAACACTTTTCTTTGTTTCTTTTTTCTTTTGTTCTATTGTTTGTTTTTTTAAGTGTACTGTGAATTTTCACCAACTCTTAAAACAGATTTCATTGAAAATGACTAACGACGCTGCTGGTATTAGATGAGTCATGTTGGCGGTTTCCACTTATTTTTACTTCTATCATAGTTATCATTCAGTTGTTGAATGTTTGTAAAAGATCTGTGGGCAAACGATCTCCCCATAAACTGGTAAAATACATTACGACAGGTTTCACTTTGTTCATAGAAGGTAGGTAGCCTTTCAGTCGTGTACTTTGGTGTTATTTCGACGTCACGCCATTCTTATCCGTGTGCCTTTAACAATGACTGAGCAGGACAGATGGCGGACGCCGGTTTCCTCTCACACCCTTGTTTCTGACTAGGAGGAAAAAGGAGTAGACTGTATCCTTAGAAGTTATCAGCACTACAAGGGAGAAAAAAAGTCACTGCTCTACTCAATCTTTTTCCAGATATGTGATTAAGATTCCCATGAATCCCAAGAAGAAATCGAATGTTTTTTTTGTTGTTTTTTTACAATGGATCTTTTCAGTCTTAACTTTCTAAGGTTTAGGGTTTAGGTTCACCATTAACATCTTAGCAGCATGAGCACTCTGGCAGCTTTCTTTCCCATGATGCCTCTGCGGAAACTGGGAACGGTGCCTCTGTTCTGCGATTACACTGCAGTTACACTCGCTGCAGTTACCGGATCAAAGGACCATTCAAGCCTTCCCATAAAAGAGCTCCTATTCCATGACTAATTGCTATTCTTTTGAAATTGTCACCCTCCCAACGAGCAGCTCTTGACCGCAATCTGGAGTTACATGTAGGCTGAAACACAGAGGTCCACAGCTGGCTTGGCTCTGGGTTGGAGGGTTAAGAGGTTTTCATTAAATCGACGACTGAGAATCTTGATTGTTCTGCACCTTGAATCACATCTCTATTTTTTCACTTCGGTTTAACAAACATGAAAGTGGCTATAATCAGTGTTTTTATATTAACCAATATGCTGGCTCTGCACTTCCCCTCGGCTACAGGATGCGATTGATCGTGTTTCAGCTCATTATCATTAGTTATTTAGTTTTTCAGCCTACAACTTTATTGTTTTTGTTCACTCGTAGTGCTCTCACAGCATTGTTTTCTAAGAAAAGATTGTTAAGAAATATACCATCTCCAGAAACTTAAGAGCATACAGACAAAGCTGGCGACTATCTAATGAACACAGTGGAGCATTAAGCAGCTAAAGATATTTCCCTCAGGAGTTGGTAGAGACCAAAAACAGCTGAAAGAGAGTTAATATAAGACTTTAATTTCATCAGGTGGCCAGAACCATGGCTCAGAATGAATAATAATGTTGCTCTATATTTGCAGGGGGGAAATTGTGAACAGTTTGCATATCTATATCAATTTTGTGTCAACAACTTGTTTCTGCTGCCCTCAAGTGTCCAAACCCCCTCATCATATTACAAGTTTAATGAAAGTCAACCTTTGTCCTGCTTTGGTTGGTGTAATCCCCTCTGTTGTTTATTAGAGCCTGTTTCAGGATTTAACTTAAAGAAAAAATGGCAAAATCAATGCCTTGGATGTGGTGCTCAGTTGAAAATTACTAAAAAAACGGAAAAAAACACATTGATCAAAGTGATAAATCATACAGATCATAAATGAATAATGATTTAAGCATGTTTTACAGGTTCCCCTTTCCTAGACTGCTCAACTTCCTTGTGTTTTTATTTTAAATCCAGCACGGCTAGGTGATGAGCTAAAGGTGGAGCAGGGTGTGAAGGACTTGCGGTCGCTTAGTCTGCCCAACATGAAGCCGTCCGGAGGTCAGAGCCCCTACATCCTCACGCCAGGCAGCGAGAGGGCGGAGCATGGATCTCTGGGACGCAAAGAAACCGTGGATCTGTTGGTGAGTTGCATCTGGCCGAACAGGATTACAGTATATGTTTAATGTGACGCTCCAGCTCCTAAGTGTGTCTCAGACTCATCAAACCAAAATACATCACCACTTTAAACCACACACAAACACACACACACACACACACACACACCCAGTGACTTGCACTGTTTTGCCACACCCTTTACTATTTTCCCTAACTTCACATCCTCTCCCTTCTTCCTTCAGTCCCATGATGCTTTGGGCCAGTATCTCATGGTAATCCCACCATGACCTCATCGTATTGTATTACCTTCATGTGCCCAGCAGAACCCTGGGAATGTATTTTTGGATTTCCGTTTCACTCTTCTGCCAGCCGCGTGCGTCTTTGTGTGCGCACTCGTCGTGTATGTGCATGCCTGCTCGTTACTGCTGACTGAAGCCTTGAGTTAGGGCTGGGCAATATATCGGTATTATATCGATATCTAGTATATATACTAGATATCGTCTTTGATTCTGGATATCGTAATATGGCATACGGGTTGTGTTTTCCTGTGATGTTACCAGGCAGTTCCAGCTGTTCTATTATTTGTCTTTACCCGCTTAGTCAGTATATCCACATTACTGATGTATTTATCAAAAATCTCATTATGTGAATATTTTGTGAAAGCACAAATGGTCATCTCTACGTCACAATATTAACTTTGAGGTATTGGGTCAAAAATATTTGCTTAGCCCTACCTTGAGTCTCATATGATGATGAGTTAACTCAGGAACACTTTGTGCCACTTCAGCACTTCCTGCAGCTACAGGAAGTGGTTGTTTTGTTACTGATGAGGGACTCTCAGAGGCTGCAGGATCCTGATCCGCTAGGCTGGCTAACATGTAGCATGGAAACAGGGCAGACCGTCATCAGGTTCATGTTGTAGCTCTGTGGCATGGGCCCTTTGCTGTTTGCTCTTAAAGATCATTTTGGAGCCCTTGATTTCAGACAAAAGTAAGCTTCTTATTTCAAGGTGGTGACTGTCGATTCTGACAAGTTGACAGGTTAAAATGACAACTTTTTTCATTAATTAAGAAAGAGGTTATTGATATGTCTTTTAAAACTTGCATTACTGGATGCCTCACCGATCACCGTTGGTAATTTGTATATAATTCTCATTCTCTGAGTTCGGCGTTCGCTCAGGTTTAGGCTTCTAGCTTGTGCTCTATCACGTGCTTGAAACCAGTCATTGGTTGTTGAAAGCCCTTAAGGTAAGTCTAGACCTATTAACGGGTGAGTTTAATTGTGTGTACATGCACACACTGTAAACAGACTTGATGTCATCATGGCTTTGGGCAGGGAAACCGGTACAGGCTCGGTTAAAGCATTTTCCAGCCATCTGTGGCGGCTAGTCACCAACATTAGTCATCAAAGCGGAGACATAAACACTGGGGGTTGCTGAGGAAAGCAGAGTTTTAGTCATACAGTATCTGATCGTATGTTGCTGTGGTGAATTGTTGTATATTGTTTTGTTTGTGTCATCCACACGCACGACACACAAGGAATTTTGCCAAAGTATGTCACTGTACTCGCACTGCATGTAATGACTTGTCATTTTTATTGACTGAATGTGGAGAGAGTGATGTCAGTGACGAGTGCGGTCCTCAGGGGGGCGGTGATGTGCTCTAGTGAACGTCTGTTGGATATCTGGCAAAAATATATCGAGTTTCTGACTGTTGGTGCTGTCTGCACGGTTTCACTCTGCAGTGCAGCATAATGCAGTGACAAAGGACATTTCTGTAGAGATAAAAACAATCAGTTGATTCATCGATTAGTTGTCAGAAAATTGATTAATTAGCCATTTAAGCCCCTCCCCGTTTAACAACATGTTTGCTTATTGTGCTTTCTCTTGGATGCTGTATACGTCCTTCTGCAAAGTGAACGTCAGAGTTTGATGCTAGGCGATCATGTTCCAAAACAGCTTACAGATGTGTGATGTGGAAACTTAAAGGGCACACACACTGAGAATGAACATTTTAGTGGAGGAGGAGACATGCTGTATCCAGCAGTTGCGCTTTTGTAATTAACATCTTTGGCATTTTTTTATAGATTCTTTCAATGAGGGAGGAGGAGAAGATGCAATTTGAAATAGTTTGTAGAAAAATCACGTCCAACACAAATTATTATTCAAAGCAGAGGGTGTTTTTATGTCCAAAAGTGGCAACAGATAACTTGGTAGCTTTATGTGCCGCCGTTAACAGAGTGGGAGGCAATAAAGAGATTGCTGTCTTGGTTCGGACTGCGGAGCCTCTGTGTTGTTTTATTACCTTCATACGTATAGGCGTAAGCTCCATCTTCTTCCTTTGTGCTGTAAAATAAGCCTTCATTTTCCCAGGAAATCGCGACCCGGTGGCAGACAGAATTACAAAGTGAAAGCGAGGCTTATAGGGAACCGATCTAAACGCAGGTGGTGTTATTGTTCTATAGCCGTGACTTTGTGCAATCGACAGCCACACAGGTTACATAAAAACATGTTTGGAGAGGATCTTTAAGCAAAACTTCACTGCCTCCTGCTTCTCAAATGTCAGTATATTTGTATATATATATTAGCAAATAAATTAGTAAACTACAAATATATTTGGAGTTTTGACTGGTGTTCGGGCAAAGCCAGCTATTTGAATATGTCAACTTGGGCTCTTGGAAATTGTGAAAGGCATTTATCACCATTTTCTGATATTTATAGACCAAATAATTGATTCGTTAGTCGAGAAAATATTCAGAAAAATGATATGTGATTTGCAGCCCTACATTTCTAATTTTTCCGTCTGCGTGAAACTATTTGGTATGAATGAGTCATAAATTATCTCAATCTTGGACGCTCATAAGAGCCTCCTGCCGTAGAGCCCGAGCTCAATGAAGTCTATTGGATCCCCTTTTGTCTTTAACAGACTCAACAGCAGAAACCCTGTGATCCGCGTTGGGTGCCAGCCCATATTTTATGAAAGCTATTTTGGAGGACAAAAGCTCTACTTGGACATGTGGGCACCGACTGCAGTTCTTTGTGTTTCCATGGCAGCAGCTTTGGCCCTCGCCATTAAAAAAAACATGCGTGCCTGCTTTTTATGGAATCAAGGCCCTTTTGCTCAAAGAAGTTCAGATATTTGCCTAGTGACCGGATTCATGGCCTGGCATGGCAGCGGCTTGTGCCAGGCTTCAGAGGAAACGCAGCCAAGTCCTGTCCTTTTCTGAACAGAGTTTTACTCTTTGGTTTAAATGGGGTATTTCAATCAAGTTTATTATTGCGTGTATGCTACGTTTTATAGGCGCTGGCAGCGTTGTGATAGGCTGCAGAGAGCTTTGATGATCCAGATTGATTATTTTACAACGGGGGAGCCTCGGCCATGCTCTCTCCGATTGGTCGAGGACACATTCCATCCTTTGCTGATAGTTCCTACAAAGCACCGCTGCCCCTTACAATATCAGCAGTGTATCAACTGATCTAAAACAGGTTCAACTTTTAACTTGCACAGCCCAGTGGGTGATTTAAAAAAAAAACACATTTACAACATCAGAGAAACATTCAACATCCTGTATTGTACATAGTTGAGTGGAGGAGATGCACATCCACCCAGTAACCGTGTTTTGCTGCAGCGTTAATTCAAATCGAAAACTGCACTGAATACGCCGTAAAGGCTGTGACTCATTTGACCCGTTTGCTATGTTGAAGTCATTTATCCCCAAGGTCAGGGCTCAGGATGTTTTTGGACTATAAACAGAGCAGTATGACGTCAGGTTGTAGCAAAAAAACAAAACTTTTTTTTTTTACACATGGGACTTACAAAATATCTGCATTACTGCTCCAGTATTACGGCAGCTTTTGGGAACACACACACGGTTCAGGCCTCTCCTTTTCCTGAGAAGTGAAACTGCAAGTTTTACAGTCGTCATAAAGATAACTCGACTGTCTGGGATCTTGTGGTGTTCAGTCAGCACATACATTGATCCTCGCTCTCTATCAGCTTTTTTTAATTTTTTTTATATATATAACACATGACCGTCAGTTGCCATATAATGCTGAAAACAACACTAAAGTGGCGACCCAACCTTGCAGCTCTGTCTCTGAATCAGGTTATTAAACACATAAAACCCATGCAGCAGGGTGAAGTGTTTTAAATCACAGTAAAATTAGTGGATCCAGAGATTGACCAGGATCACATTACAGTTTTGCAGTTGGATGGTTTTGGCATTTCCCAAGGAGTTAATGTCGGGTAATAGATCCTCCATATGTGTGTCAGTGCTCAGGCGCTCCTAAGGCCCTCCTCCATCACAGCAGGAAAAACCTTAAATACCCAATTCTAAACCTCAATACATGTGTGGTACTGAAATGTGTCTGTGTGGTTTTTTTTTAATGAAAAGAAACTGGATTTTATGTAAAAATATGTTAAAGTGATTTATAGAATCCTTACGCAATAGACAGAAGAGGTAGATAGTGTTGTTTCATAACAGACGAGGACTCTGTAAAATACAGTCGCTGACAAAAGCTCTGGAAAAGCCTTCAGGGCTAAAAACACTGATGACGTAGAAAGCCAACATTTCAGCTGGGGAGACAGTGAAAGGAGTGTTTCGCCTTCTTACTGTTAGTTTACTGAACACAAGACAGAGAGACATGCGTTTTCTACAGTCTGCTTTGAATGATATTGTATTGACGTTTGGCAGGAGCAATTGTCATTTATTTCCTCTTTTTCTATCCGGGTCATGCGGAATGTTTTCACACATCTGCATTACACAACTGTGGATGGTAATGTGGTGGAGATTGTCCCTCAGTCGGGCTATCGCATCCAACAGCCTCCTCTTCTCTCACTGTCTGGCCTCTCCGACGGCTCACAATGGGGTCAATTGTCGACGGACACAGAGCCACTTTCAATGACAACGGCTGAATCAACGGCGGCCACACAGGGCTTCATTGAGCTGAAACATGAGGTGTTCCATACAACAGTCGGTATAGTTTGTTAATAGAGTGAGAAGTATCTGTGAAGGAGTTGTTAAGGGC